ATCTATTTTGTGATGCAGGTCCGAGCACTAGTAGCCAGCGTTGATCGAGCTTGGAGTAGACTTATCCGGAGACGGGGGTGAGCACACGGCGTTTTGTACTATTTCAGTCTCCATCTGTATATATAGACTTGTCTTTTTTTCCTTTCGAGACAGTCCAGTCTCTGTTGTCCAGTTTTGGAACTTCTACTCATTTTGTAGTAGCTCTGTACTGGTGACTTTCAGGTTCTGGGAGAGATCTTTATTTGTATATATGTTTTGGGTTGCTTCCGCCTGTTTATGTTGTTATTTTCCTACTCTTGTTTAATTTCTACCCTCAGACCCATTACTTGTTGTTTCGGGTTACGGGTTGGCTTACCTGCTGGTGGGTTATAGTAGGTGTCATCATGACTTGATAAATCGGATCGTGACAATATGCTTAGTGAGCAAACTTATTATGTCAGTAGTTCAACATTTTCGAGCGTACATAAGGCATCCTTAAATTTGGTGTTTGCTTGATAAGTAGCTCTTCTTTTAAATCTGGTGTCATTAGTTAATACTTAATCAATAGACTCAAGATAAACTATATATATAAATGGTTGGTGTGAGATGTGTCCAAACTTGTCTAACAACTTGTGTAACTGCCTCCTACTAATGTTTCATAAATTACTGTAAGTTAATTTATTTATGATTTAATTGCTAACTGCTACTACATATATGGTGTATGACATAAGTTTCCTGGCATGTAATAACTTTCTGTTTCTACCCCAAATTAAGATATTTTGTGGGTTGCAGCAAATTATGAAGAATATTACTATTTCCCATTTCAAATTTTGGTGCCCTTTTTAAATGTGATCAGATTATATGCTATGTATCATTTCTGAGAAGATATTTATTGTGCTGATAAATTACAGGTTAGCTTTTTGTGGATTGTGAGTTTTGTTTCCATATAAAAAGCTTTCTTAAATTTAAATGCGATTTTTAAAATTATTTGGATAATGCTGAAATTCCTAATAGTTGTCAGTTCATTTATGTACTTCCACATTTCTTTTGAATTGATTTTATATATTTATTAGTTAATTTTTTATTGGTATCCTCTGTTAGTGCAGTAAGCTTTCGTGTTGGAGCTAATTTTATCAGGGAGCTTTTAAAAGACTTATTTTCTTATTGATTTACTAATCTGATTTCACTTGTATGCTTTGGACTAAGTTATAATCTTTTGAGTAGATTATATCTATGATATTTAATTGTTTCCATCTCTTCTTTTGTTGGAAAGTTTGAAGCTGAAGCATGAACAATTGGATTAAATACATATTCTGTCGATTGTTGGGCATGAAGACTGTTAAAGACAAAGCAGATGGAGTAGAAATATCCACTCTTCAGTCCAATGGAAAGTTCTGTTCACATCAACATTATTTTTTAATGATGTATTATTTAATTTATACTGCAAAATTATATCTGTAAATATTTTAAGTTATGTTATTATCAATCGATTATGCTGTACTCTCCTTGATTGAGGGTTGATAACAATACATGGTTGATATTTGGTATTGACAATATCTGCACATTTATAAAGTAGACGTAGCATTATGTTCTTCTACATATACTTTTTTTGACTACTATTCCTTTCCAAATAACTTTACGAAGTACTCAGAAAATGCAAAATGTTGGGCCTGTGCTGAGCACGGGCAAGAACCATCTAGTATATATATATATATTTTTTTTTCTGGCCATACTAAGAGCTTATTCGTTGTTAGCAGTAAAAAATACTAAACGTTTGAATTTCTTGAACAAATTAAACTAATCATGGATATGCGCTCTTTAAACTCACCCAATTGGTGTTCTAATTTGGTAACTAATTCATGTGAATAATGTGATACATTTTTTAATGATTTTCTTTATCCCAATCAATTTTTTTTATTACATAAGCAATGGGGGAAGATAGAATTTGGGAGGGAATAATTACAAGGCGGAGAATAGCTAGAACCTTCACCAACAAGGTGAAAGTTCACATACCAACTAATTGGGTATTATCAAAATTCGAAGAAATTTTATTGTTAACTAGAAGTAAATCCATACCTGGATATAGATGAAATGACGCCAACAACTCCGTTAATAGAAGATGATCAATACGTCACATTTTCAAAACATCATTCAAGCTTATCCAAAAAGCTAGTAAATTAGAATGTAATGTTGATATCCGAATATTGTTATTTTCATAAAACAATTTGAAATTATCGATTGATTTTCAAAATGTAATATAATGCTAAATAAAAGTACTCATCTTATGTACTGGAAATAAAGTGAGCAAGATCAACAACAGTCTTAAGAATTTTGAAATAAACGATAATAAAATGAGTAATTTCACTTACTATTATATCAAGATTCAAAAAATTGATCAATAACTACTTATAAATAATACCATTTGATGAAAATAACATTATTCCATCATAAATATCAAATTCACTAGCTTTTTGGATAAGCATGAACAAGTTTTGAAATGTGACATATAATCACCTTCATTTATATAAAGTATAGATCAATATTTTCGAAGAAAGGATGTTTATAAGAAATGAAATATCAAGATTATTTGTAAGCATCACAATTTTTTTTTACGACGAAGCATTAACTTTCTAACCTAATATTGTAATTAGATCAAATTTTTTTCATGGAAAAAAATTATAGATGCAAAATGAAATTGATATGATATATATTTGTGATGAGATATGAACTTTAAGTTTAAATAGGTAAATTATTGATGAACTTACCTAATGCTAGGTTAGTGTTTGACCATATATTTTCAAATATTTTGGGTAAATTATTTTTTAGTAAAATTTTGCCATGTGTTTGACCACAAATTTCGAAATTTTTGTCATTTATGGGTGAAGTTTTGCCATGTGTTTGGCTACAAATTTACAAAATATTTTTGGCAAGTCATTATCGGGTGAAGTTTTGTCATGCGATTGACCACAAATTTTTTTGGGAGATTTATTTGACTTTTTAAAAATAATATAAAAATTAATATGTTTTATACCTATAAGTTCTAAGAATTTATTAAAAATACTCATAAGTTTGTATTGTCATTTTATAATGAAAATGTTTCGTGAAAAGTAATGACAACGAACATAAATAATACGAGTTAGAAAAAAGAAGAAGAAAACAAAGTGAAAATACCATTTGTTTGTGTACGAAAAACTACTATTACTACATGTAATTGGAGGTGACTTCGGAGAGTAAGTTTGGATAAAAATTGTATAAAATATGTATATAACGATATAAATTTTGTACAACAAACTAGGAATAAAATTTCGTCTAAAATTATAAATGTTGGGTGTTTTCTAAAATGTAAAAGTTTTGAATAATTTTTAAGTTTTATAAAAATTCGCGAATTCAAAAATCCGGCTAAAATTCTATTTTTTTTCTAAAACTTGGAAACTTGGGATAACCAATTATATGACCAAACACTAGTTACCAATTTTTTTCGAAATTTTTCCCAAACATAATTTTCTTACTTTTGGATTACTAGTTTATGATTAGTAAATGAAAATGTAATTGGAAGGAACATTAATTAAAATATAAAATTCTCTAAACATTTTTTATAGCAACCAAATCAAAGTCTCAGCTTATCTTTGATTGAAGGTATCCCATGAGATTAAAAGTTTATTAAATTAAATATTCCTCTAATATAATCTAATTTCTGAATACATCTCTTGTATTTTAAAATATAAACATTTACACCATTTATATTATGAAAATATCATACACTTATACTCTCTATGAGTTAAAGCCATGACTAAATATATTAGTAAAAGATTGAGTAAAATTGTTAATAACACAAATTACTTAATTGAATATTCCAATTATTATTAGTAATTTTCTCGCACTTAAATCATACAAGTTATTTTATTTTTATTTAGTTATAATATTTTATTATATAATATTTTAGGGTGTGACATAGTCATTAGCAAAGTGGTAGAAAATCAACAGATCTATTATTTTTCTCCATCTTCTAGCATTGTGAATAGAGTTACCTAGTACTTATTACTGGTATAAAGTAACATATATTCCGTGAAATTAGTTAAGATACACATAAAATTGACTTGGTCACCACAATTATCAAAAAATATATATATTAATAAAATATTCAAGGGTGTGACCTAG